TCTTTTTTTCTCTCTATTTATAGTACTAGTACAATGCTCATCTTAAGCTTTATATAATGAAAAAAGAATCTTTGATAGGCAAATCATCCATATATAATTCAATTATTATTATTTTATAATTTTTTTTTTGTATTTTTTTGTTTTATTGCTACCATAACTCACTGAAAATGTTAATTCCTATTTAAGTTATGCGCTGACATTGGTGACGATAAGCAATGTAAGCTTAACATTTTTTTGAATTATTATGGGTATTTTAGATTTTAAAAAAAGAGAGTATATTCATCACCGACACAGTAAAACACAAAATGATGTCCATCAAAATTTTACCTGATATCCCACCGGAACGTGTATATGATTATAGATACAACGACTAAGAACACTACTGAACTACATGTACTAATGACGGTAATTATCGCAATACCATAGCATCTAAGAGAATTTGCATCAAAGCTAACTAGACTAATTCCATCCTTGTTTTTACATGTAGCGTGCTCGAGTTCCATAAGTGTTGCTTTGGTTTGGTTAATCCAGTTACGAAACCATACCAGGTTACAATCACAAACTAATGGATTGTACTCAATTCCAAGAGCAATCAACTTGGTCAACTCCTGGAATCCAACTTTTTGACTGATTGTTGTCACCTTGTTTTTTTGCACGAAAAACCGCGTCACGTTCGGTGATCCAAAAAATAGGTATGAAGGGAGTAAACCGATGTCATTCGACTCAATATCAATATTTTTCAGAAATGGAAGGTTGTGAAATAGATCGATAGGGAGTTTAGCTATCTGATTTCCGGTAAGAGAGATTGTTTGAAGTTGAAGACAATTATCAAACAAACCCTTTTCGAGAGTCTTAACAACCGAATGCTGAATGTATATAGATTGTAAGGATACCAACTTAAGAAACCAACTTTTGCGAATGTTAGCTAATCCACGATTGTAATCCAGATGCAAAAATATCAAGTTAACTTGGCTATCAAATATATGATCATCCATCTTAGATGATAATAAACTATTGTAATTCAAATACAATTCTTGTAGCTGAGTGAAGTGCACCAGGCTATCGCCGCTGATGCCAGCAATATAATTTTGGTTCATGGATAAAAAACTTACATCCACCGGAATCGATGCTGAAGGAATATGAGTATATGGTCTCTTATTGCAGTAAACTTTATGTCGAAAGGACAATAAATGTTTGTCAGCTGGAATTCTGCAGTATGCACAATAGCATCCGTGTGGACAGACTGTGGTGTTCGGTGCCTGTGTTCCGTTGATTTGGAACGGGTTGAACGGGTAGCAGGAAAAAGGTGTCAGCATCGAAGTTGGTGCAGACATCTTTATGTAAAATACTCCCAGTATTATTATTAAACTTAACATGTTGAGTATTTCTAGAACCTTCAAATAGAAATCAGTTATATTAAAACTGAATACCGCGATCTTAGCCTATTCAAATTCCAACGAATCCGAATAAAAGTACTGTACTAATTCCATCCTATTTTACAAGGAAACAAATACATGTTATGTACTGTCTCGACCTTCTTTCAATGAAACTGTCGTACATTACAATGCTGCTCAAAAAGGCGGAGCTATGTAAATTATTTGCGGGTTTTACCATCTTATTTTTATGTGGGAATTTTACCATCTTATTTTTATGTGATCGTTGTTCCTTATAAATCAAAGCAATATGCTGCTAATAAGTGCTTTGAATGGTTCATGAATATATTCACAACTTAGTATTTAGTAGAATTTTAACGTTTGTACAATTTAAATTTTAATCCAAAGAGTGATATTCGTAATCGAAAAAGGAAGTTTTTTTTTATCTTATCTTATCTTATCTTGAAAATGATAATGGCGAAGAAAAACAGTTTTGAAATTTTTACAAGAATGACAATTTATTACTAGTGTACAGTCGGCTTGAGCGACGCTAACAGGGCGAATATAAATTTTTTTTTTTAAAGTTTGTACGTCCCCACCCATTCGTTAAAATATTCAAACGAACTTAAAAAGCAAAAAAGCAACTAATCATTTTAAACATGTTGTTTATTAATTGGTACGTCTTGTTAATGTGTGTATATTCCTGCCTAATTTTAATAATCTTCCTTGGAGAGATTGGCGACAGTGAACCATGAGAGTTGTTTCTAGGTTTTAGGTTGACAATGATTTCTAGCTGTTGAGTCCTTTGTAGGACTGGTCGTTATGCAGAAATACTTTCCACTATATTTCGAGATATACTTCACAAAAGTTCTTTTGTTTTGTTTTTTGTTTTTGTTTGTTTGTTTGTTTGTTTTTTTTGCGACCCTCAGAAAAGTTTTGGCGACTCAAATTTGAGTCACGTCCCATAAGTTGAGGAGCAGGGCTATGTACTATTGTATTCTGTTGTAAACGCACACGTTACATTTCGATATGCACTGGCATGTATCTTATACCGGTTGATCGATTGTGAATCGACATCCTGGAAGCAGGGAACAGTGTAATTTCACCGTTC